GTTGGGTATGCAGTGAGAACACACTAGAGGGGGTTTTAAAAGGACAGTGGAAATCTCTAAACTTCCTTAATGATGAATTTGCCTAAAGAACTTGCTCTGACTGCAGAGTTGGTTAAGAGCTAAACCAAATGCCAGATTGGAATTACATTTCCCACTGCTTCATAATACCTTAATCCAGGCAATAGCCAGCTACTGGAAAAAGGCATAGGTCTAGGAAGTTCGAATGACTGGATATATTAGCACATCAAAACTATAATCTGGAGTTTTTGGAGGAGAATTATGTTTATTATTTCTAATAAGAATGAGATGAGGCAATACACATACAATTAAATTGAACTTAATTTGTTAGTGTTTCACTTAAATACACTTAGAAATTATTTTTTTAACCTCTCTTCTATTGTTGATTTAGATAATTTTTTTAATAGTTAGGCTGGGACAAAAAATAATTGTAGGCATCAGAGATAATTCATACACTTCCACTATACTTATCACAATGTGCTGCAGTTCTTAATTTAGTGTCCTTTCACTGCTCCAAAATTCAATCATTTTAAGGGCAGAAATTCAACTTTATTCTGTTCTGCATTTTTTGACCTAGGATAGTACTTTGTACACCCTAAGGGATTCCATAAGGGAAGAGAGGTAGAAAGAGCTTGAATGGGAGTGCACACAGAGTCTAGTAACTGCTCGCTCAATAGCTTACTGTGCTGCTTTGGTAAGTCACTTAGCCTCTAATAGCCTTAAATTTTCCATTTAAAAATGAGTGATATAATTTTTGTAAAAGGATACATCTGAGACCAATAAGTGGAAACTATAGAGAGGAAAATTTGAGCTCACTGTAAGAAAACCCTTTCAAATGATTAGCGTTTCCTAAAAGCTCTACTTACTGCTTCCAGAGTTCCTGATCAATTGAGTGGCCAAACAGAGGCTTAAAGAGCATTTGGTGAGAGGACTGAGATTGAAAAAAAGAACTGAAACACTGAAAGAATGGTTAGGCTAAAAGTCCTTTCCAGCCTGATGTTTGATGATGGCCAGCCTTTCTCCCATGGCATTATTGTGGCACTGCGAACCTATGTATACAGCACCAATACACTCATTTTGGGATGTGGTCCAAGTACCAATATTACCTCCAAGAAGACACTAACTTCATTTCTTTTCATACCACTTTACTCAAATTCTTGGTGAAAACAATAACTTTTCTATCTACTTCCCAGGTTTGTTTTAAGGATAAAAAATTTTTAACAAATGCTGAATAGTAATAGTACCAAAAGAAGACAAAGTGGCATTATTAAAAGTTTTTCCATGGTGCTCTCTCCCATCCCCTACAGGCATTTAAGTTTTACTAAATTAAATCTTGCATGTGAGAGGTTAATAATACTTGAAAGCCAACAAGTCACCACCATTTAAGCCAGATGTGTTTGTGACTATATTTGGCTGTAGCTGAGACTTAACAAAAATAATGATGTACATATGTAATAATTTTATCTTTTTAATTGTATATTTGCAAGTTTCTCATTGGTTCCAGAGCATAACTTCCCAGGAGTTAGAAAGCATTTGAGTGAATATATGGATATTTCTCTCTCCTCACTCACCATTTGACCCACAAACAGACAATATTCTCCAGCTCTAGCCATTTTTAACTAGTAAATGTTCCTTTAATAAGTTGTTTCAGTTGCCATTGCCACAATACTACCACATGATAAAGCACCTCAAATCTAGGGGCATGAGGTGCCTAATGTCCATGATTTCTCTAGTTCACAAGTTTGTGTAATGACAGAAGCAGATTTCCTTCAGGCTGTAGATGGCCTGGGCTTGGCTCCAGCCCTTGGGGCAAGGTTAGGTCTGCTCCACATCTCCTCATTCTCCTGGGACCAAGGGTTACCTGCCCTCAAGCTTTTCTGTTGGTGGAGACCAGAAGCACTTTCCATGCCTAAGAATTTGGCCCAGAATTAGGTGGTTGACTCATCAATTGACATTCCATTGATCTGAGCAGTGACTTGGGCAAGCCTACACGGATGGGGAGGAGAAACATCCTGGTTATTTATGATTATATTAGCATCCGGGAGGACCAGGTTTAAGTGCTCATACATAGTTGTGGACTGAATGACTATTATAAACACAAAGGACTTCACTTTCTACCAAAGTATAATTCTAGTTGAGTGTTTTCAGTCATTTAGGTTTGCTGTTTCCCAAAGCAGCCTTTTCTGATTTGAGGATTTCAGTTGTCATAAATATCTTACTATATTAAGTGAAATTTAACTTACTCAGTCTTCCAATTAGGCCTACAGTTCCTCCAGGAAAGAAAAAAAAAAATCATACTTTCCTCTGGATTAGGAAGCCTTTTCAAATAATTGAAAAATATTTCCATTCTAAACAGCCCCAATGACTTCAACAGTCTTTCCCCCATAAATCCAAATGTCCTTGGGAACAAATGAGTTTGTTAATATATGGATTTCAAATAGTTCTGGTATATCTCATAAATATAAAAAGAGACCACCTATTTCCTGTGATTGATACAGTACCAATATTCCAATTAATGCAGTTATCTTAAATTGTTCTATCTAATAGATGATATATTTAAAAAATATATAAATAAAGTACAAAGGAAAATAATATAACAAAGACCAGTGTACCCAGGACCTATGTTTTCAACTACTAACATTTTCCTTTTTTTAATCAGAACTTTATGTTTCATAAATCATTACATGTACAGTTGAAGTCTACTTTGTATTCCTCCCCTTTCCCAGTTTCTTCCCTTCCCCCTTAAGAGGTAGCTACTAGTTTAAACATATTACAAAATGTATCACATTCTAAGCAACAAAGTAAATTCTACATATATCAAATAATCTTCTGCAGACCACATTCTTTGCAATTAGATTAGAAACCAATAAAAATAAACTAATAACATATGTATGTGAAAAAAATGCCTACTCACATACTGACTGTAGCATTTTATTTAAATGTGCTTTTTTTTTTTTTGCTATTTATAATGGTGCTCCAAGTTTATTTACTAATTGAAACATTTGAATTGTTTGTTCACTTATCGCCCCTTCTATAAATCCCTGGGAATAAAACTGAGTGAGACTCACTTTATTCCTTAAATCAGTTTTTTAAAAGTTAATACTGAATTGTTACAGAAGAATGCTTATAAAATATATGTGTGGTATAAGGAATCATGATACAGTATCTGCTAATCCTTAGCTCAAAACTTCCCAATAGTGCCACGTCTCCCTCAGAATAAAACCGTGACTTCATAGTGATCCATTCTTTTGTGACAACTCCAACCTTGCCTTCTGCTTGCCTCTCCTGGCCTGGACTCCAGTCACCGCTACTTCTTCCTGTCCTCTAGCAGAGCTGACCACTCCCATCTCAGGCCATTGTCCTTCCTCAGCCTGCCACTCTCCTCCCGGCACAGCCATGGGGCTGTACCCAATTTCCTTCAGAGCTTCACCCAAAGGCTGCTTCCACAGGAAGCCTTTCCATGACCACCCTAAAAAAACTTCCAGTACCACCCCAGTCAATACTTCCTAGTCTCCCTCTGTGCTTCATGCTTAAAAGTCTTAGCATTTATCACTATACAACATATTACTTATGAATTATATTTGTTGTCTGTCTCTAAGCACCAGAACTCAGCTCCAAAGGGCAGAATGTCTGTTCTGTTTGCTGCCATCTCTCCTGATACATGGAGGGCTTTTTAAATCTTCTACAGTTGTACTATTTGTGCTCCAGTGCTTAATGACAGGTGCATTAAAATTTCCCAGTATACATGATTTGTATTTATATGTTTTATCTGTATAGTTCTCTCCATTTTGTTGAATAATCAGGCTAGATTTTTAAAATCTTTTTGATGAGTTTTTTTTTTGTTGTTACAAACTGACACTTTTGCACCTTAATGCTTTTTGCACTAAAACCTATTTTGTCTGATATGAATACAGGTATACTTGCTTTAGGTTTGGTTACTTTTTTTTTTTCTAATCATTTCTTTGATTTGCCACCTTTTGTACATTTATGTGTCTCTTTAACCAAACAAATACACCTTAGTTTTGTTTTATTCAATATAATTCTGTCAAATAACTTGCCTTTCTGGGAGAGATATATTCATTTCCATTTATTCTGGTTACTGATATATTTTTAATTAATGTATTATGCTTATTTTTTCTTTCCTCTTCAAATTTTGATTGTATTAACCAATTTTTATTCTTTCCTTCCCACCCACCCCTGCCCCGACTAGTTTAAAATTTATATTTTAAGGCTTTATTTTTTAGAGCAGTTGTAGGTTTAGTAGAGAGTTACTTATGTCTGGCATTTATTAAACATGTTTATAGTTTCATCACGATTATTTTAAAGTGTGAAGTTAAATAAAATCTTCATCTACCTCCCAAATACAGCAAGGTTTTGAAATGCTTTAACTCTGATTTCTTTCCTTCCATTTTACTTATAATTGCTGTGTAATATTTTAGTTTTTACTCTTCATTTTTATATGATAAAAATTATTCTTCCCTTCTTATCTTCCCAGTCTTCCTTCTCTGATCTACAGGTTTGTGAACTGATGTATTAGATAATCCTAAATCTTGGTTATGTCACCCATTCTATTGAACTGTCTTCCCTAACCTTGTTTCTTTGAATGTATTTGCTAAGTAGACATTCCTTTTTTATATTCAACTAAAACTCTCTAATAAAACCACCATCAGATTAAGTTTAGGGCAGAGTTTTGTGCACATCTGAGGAAGAATAATAAACTACTTCATTAAATTTTATAATCTCATTGGCAATAATACATCTATACTTATACTTTTATATTTAGACAATTAAGGAATGTTGAAAAATTCTGGTTGGCAATGAATCACGTTTTCCTGCCAATTCTTTTATTTATTCCTGACTGCTATTGCAAATGTGTTCTTCTCCTGTTTGAATATTTAATATTCTTCTTTATGGTTAAACATATTTGGAGTTAAGACCTAAACTTGCCTCAGAGATTGGAGGGATCTAGGAAAATTACCTACCTGACCAGCAGTATCCAAGATGTCCAAATAGGCTGGCTCATTGTCAATCCTAACTTGGGTCTTATAAGCATCTTCTGAAGAAAAACAGAACACAAGACAAAATTTACATTTAAATATATCCACAGCAAAGTTATGATCAATCTTTAGATTTCATAACAATTTCCAAATAGGTTACTAAGTAAGAAAATCAGACTCTCTGAATACATAGAGTGAGAAGGATGTAACTCAGCCAGAAACAGCAAAACAAATTTCTGTTTTAACTGAAGTCAGGTGTATTTCTTCTTCTTTAGGAAAATTTCATGATTTAAGGTATCTTTGTCATGCAATCTAGAGAACAAATTACGGAACAAATGTATTGAATCTTTCTTAACCATGCATGCAAATTTGTATTCCAATATCAGAGTCAATGGTGAAAGACTGAAAATTTTTTTAAAATCAAGAACACAAAGATGTTAGCTTTAACCCCTTAATGTGCTTTTAATAATTTTATGAAATATGGTTGATATACAATATTATATTGATAAACAACAGTGATGCAATAGTTATATATGTTAAATGCTTACACTAATTAGTGTAGTTACTGTCAACATAGAAAGATGTTACAGAACCAGTGACTGTATTCTCTGTACTGTACTTTTGTTCCCATAACTAATTTATATTATGATTGAGATTGTATGCCTCTTTATTCCCTTCACCTATTTCACCCACCCCAAAAGCTCTCCTGTGGTAACCACCAGTCACTTCTTAATGTCTATGAGTACAGTGCTAGTTTGTTCACTTATTTTTCTTTTTAGATTCTTCATATAAGTGAAATCATATAGTATTTATCTTTCTCTGCCTGGCTTATTTAACATAAAATAATACCCTCTTGGTCCATCCATGTTGTCATAAATAGCAGGATTTCTTTCTTTCTTATGGCTGAATAGTATTCTATTGTATATATGTACCACATCTTCTTTATCCATTCATCTACTAATGGACACTTTGGTTGCTTCCATCTCTTGGCTTTTGTAAATAATGTGAGGATAAACATAAGGGTGTATGTATCTTTTTAAATCAGAGACATTGTTTTCTCTGGGTAAATTCCTAGAAGTAGAATTAGTGGGTCTTACAGTATTTCTATTTTTAGATTTTTGAAGAACCTTCATAATCTTTTCCATAGTGGCTGCAGCAATATACATCCCAACAGCAGTGTAGGAAGGTTCCCTTTTCTTCACATCCTTGCCAACAGTTATTATTTCTCATCTTTAGATAGTGGCCATTCTGACTAGTGTGAAGTGATATCTCATTATGGAAGTCCTAGACAGAACAATATACTAAAAAAAAACCAACAAAAAACAAACCAAAATGGTTAGAATTTCTAAACCAATTTGAGTTGCAGGATACAAAATCAACATACAAAAATCAGTTGTGCTTCTATATACTAAGAACGAACAATCTTTAGAGGAAATTAATAAAGTTATTTCATTCATAATAGCAGCAAAAGAAATCAAATCAAATACTTAGGAATAAATTTAACCAAGGAGGTAAAGACTTATATACTGAAAATTATAAATTTTTATGTGTTTGTATCTGATAATTTGTACAAGTTATTATATATTCCATATTCTAAACATTTATCAGTATGATTTGCAAAT